GAGAGCCAAAGGCTCTTTGGTCGAGAGTTGTGTGTGTGTGTGTGCAGGAAGAGCTTCAGCTCCTGGGCTCCACCGGTCGTAGCTTACAATGGCCACTAGCAACCCTTCCTATATACCACGTCTTGAAACAGTGTATGGAGGTAGCCTCATCTGAAATTAACGTTCATTATTTGGCTTTTTACCTCCCTATAACGTCTAGACAAAATGACCTGGGAGTGGACATAACACCAAACCTAACTCCAGAGGCTCATGTAAACAGAATAACATCAGCGGCATACTCTACTCTGGTAAAAGTCAGAACATCCTTCAGGAACTTGAATAAGGAGGCTTTTAGATCATTGCATACCGACTATGTGAGGCCAGTCTTAGAGTATGCCCCACCATCCTGGAACCCCTGTATAAAAAAAATTAAGGAAGCTCGAAAAGGTGCAGAAGTTTGCAAGGAGACTCGTCTCAGCGTTGTGAGGGATGAGGCACGAAGACAGACTGAAGGAACTCTTTACTTACGAAGGAATTACAGTCTCCGTGGTGTAGTGGTAAGACACTCGCCTGGCGTTCCGCGAGCGCTATGTCATGGGTTCGTATCCTGGCCGGGGAGGATTTACTGGGCGCAATTCCTTAACTGTAGCCTCTGTTTAACGCAACAGTAAAATGTGTACTTGGATGAAAAAACGATTCTTCGCGGCAGGGGATCGTATTCCAGGGACTTGCCCGAAACGCTACGCGTACTAGTGGCTCTACAAGAATGTAACAACTCTTGTATATATCTCAAAAAAAAAAAAAAACTAAACCTGACGATGCTAGAAAGGAGGAGAGGGAGATGAGGGACATGATACAGACGTATGAAATACTTAGAGAGATTGACTGGGTGTAAAAGAGAGGAAATGTTTACAAGGAATAACAATAGAACAAGAGGGGCACGGATGGAAGCTGGCGACTCACATGTGTCATAGACGACATGTGTCACACGACATGTGTCACACCCACATGTGTCACACCCACATAGACGACATGTGTCACACCCACATGTGTCATAGAGACGTTAGAAAGTGTTCTTTTAGCGTAAGGTTAGTGAATAAATAGAATGATTTAAAGGAGCAGATTGTAGAGGCTAACTCCATTCATAACTTTAACAGCAGGTATTATAGGGAAATAGGTCAGGAGTCATTACATTAGACAACCAATGACTAGAAAAGCGGGGGGGGGGTCAAGAGCTAGGATTCGATCCTGCAGGCACAAATAGGTATATCAATGTGTTTGAAATTTGTATTTATTTCAATTTCAAACACATTGATATACATACGTGTTCCTTACGTAGCTAATGTGATAGCAATAAATGTTTTTGGTTACCCCAAGAGTTGGTAACGCCGGATCACTGCCTCCCCCCCCACTGGTCTCTGAACAAGCCAACTGGCTGACGGTCTGGTTAACCAGGCTGTTAGACGTATATCTACATGCAATCCGACGGGTGCGTCACAGCCCGGTTGATCAACGCAGGCTTGTCACCGATTAGTTAATGCAATGGCTTCGAATCTACCCGAATGGAGTTAGTCTAAAATGCTCCATTGTCTAAATTCACTCCACTTATTAATACTTTTACACTTAAGGAGGACTAAATTCCATTAGCCATTTCTCCTGCTTACATCTAACCAAGAATTGGGGCTAGGTTGCTGGTTGATCAGTCCAGCAACCAGGAGGCCTGGTCGACG